GTGTTGTGTTGTGTTATTTTTGTTATTTTGACTTCAAGATGGCGCCGCGAGAGTGGCTGTCCTTTCCAGCAGCTCCTATATTTTGTTGTTCTACTTCTTCCTTTCATAACTTTGCTGCTGTGAATTGGGAATTTCTCCATTGCGAGACTAATAAAGGTTTTCTTATCTTTTCTTATCTTATTATGCAATATTGACTTTAATAGCGTGTTTCACATAGTTGGGTCTTTGGAGTGTCTGCCAACTCATCAAGTGAAATGACATAGTTAGGGCCTGATTTCTTGCGTTCCAGGAAGAGAATATGCAAATAGATTAATTTAACATGTGCTGTAGGGCGGCCCGGGAGTCCAGTGGTTAGCGCGTCGACCTCACGGTACAGAGGTGAGGGTTCAATTCCAGCTCCGGCCTCCCTGTGTGGAGTTTGCATGTTCTCCCCGGGCCGCCGTGGGTTTTCTCCGGGTGCTCCGGTTTCCTCCCACATTCCAAAAACATGCATGACAGGTTAATGGAACACTCTAAATTTTTCATGCGTGTGAGTGTGAGCGCGGATGGTTGTTCGTCCCTGTGTGCCCTGCGATTGGCTGGCAACCGGTTCAGTTTGTCCCCCGCCTGCTGCCCAAAGGCGGCTTTGATAGGCTCCAGCACCCCCCGCGACCCTTGTGAGGATAAAGCGGATTGGAAAATGGATGGATGGATGTGCAGTAGGATATAAAAAGTCTCCACACCCCTGTTCAAACATCAGGTTTTTGCGATATAACAAAACTGCCTGGTAATTGGAACTGTTCAGGGTTATTTCAACTTGTCTAAGGTTCCAGTTTTGAGCTGAAGAAAAACAACCCCAAAGCATGATGCAACTACAACTTGCTTTCTGAAATGTTCCATGGTGAAACCATCAGCACTACCAAAATTGCAAAAAAAAAGAATGCAGTGGTGTCCATCAAATAGGCCCTTAGTCTGAATGTTATTTGAGCTGCCTGTTTCAGAAAATGTGTCCGTGAGCAAGACGTATTGTATTTCCCTGAATTGAGGAGTCACATTTTGTGTTTGGAGTTATCACTTGGTGCTGCAGGCGTCACGTGCACTGGTCCACACAATACTGTAACTCCGTATAAAACCACAGTTATGTGATGAAGTGTTTCGTCCATGAGCGAAAATACACTCGAAGTTTTGAATCTGTGGGCACTGGCCTTGTCCCAGCCCTCTAACTCGTCCTTAGCGGGGTAATAGTAGTTTTGGATTTTTCATTATACCGTAGTTTATTTATTTTTTAATTCAGTTACTTTTAATTACTTTTTAGAGCAATTTTTTTTTTTTTTTTTTAATCACAAATTTTTGCACTTGATCAGGAGACCTTCTCTATCCACTGTACATGTATTGACCTACTGCTTTTGTTTAGGGCCCCAGTAAATATTTTGTGACAGACCAAAACACGCCAGCCCTCAGCAAAAGTGCTGTCGCCCCAACTAAACCAATCACACAAGGTAATGTCTACCGCGGAACACACATCTTAAAGATGAAGATGCACTGCGTCAAGTTTAAAAGTTGTATGTTATTTGTGTCCTTAAAAGATTGCCTCAAGATGACAGTGGCCCCAACAGAGAGAGTGGAGGTAATATATATGTAAAAAGTCAACAGCCTCTAAATCTACAATGGTGCAAATGTAAATGCAGTGCCACAACTGCTTGGTGGTGCCCCATTAATTCTAGTGTTGCAATGTTTGCTGCACTGCATGAACTTGTTATGCCACTGACGCACCCTGAGTTAATCTATTGCAAAGTATTCAAGAAAAATAGTACAATTTATACAACAGTATGGAGCCTTGGGTTGGGTATCAATTCTTGGGAATCAATTGGAACTGGGAGTAACCTTCCGATTCTGCCAGAGTCATTCACATTTAAAATTCCAGTTCCCCGTTTCGATGCCCCATCTCCCGAATGGAATAAATTCACAGCTGCGAACCACATGCACATGCACACGGCGGCAATCCAAGGTGTGGCTTAATTTTGTTCAAATAAATGAGCAGTCGCCTCACAACACTTTCAGTGACATTACAGGTATTTTGTGCAAAGGAGGTCACACGACCGGTAAAAGTTAACAGTGCTATGGATGACGAGCAGAGACTGCACCAGACTTCAATCATCTTACATGAGTAAAACAACGAAGGGAGATATGGCCATTTTCCTGAACATGAACTATGTAACTATCTGCTGCTATTTTGAAATGGGTTGCTAAGATATTCTGTTTTGCTTCTATACACCAAGTTAGGTTAGCCCATCAGTGGGAGCAACCTGTATACACTCATTTTCAAATGTGTATATGTATTTTCTGAGGTTTTCAAAAATAATGCTCTGTTGTGAAAGTGGAACCTATACTCCGGTGAAAAGAAAATGAAAAACAAACAATTCAGGTTTGATATTAATACTTTGTTGACAAATTGAGAGGATTTCATCCAAAAATAGCTGATTAGCTAGGCCATTTAGGCCGGGGTGTCCAAACCTTTGCTTCCAAGGGCCACATATAGAAAAACAGGAGGCAAGGGCCTTAATGTTTATTGATGTATAAAGCAAAACATAAATTTTTCAGTATTTGTGGGTGGTCAGTGGTCTTACCAAATGATGTGTTATTGGTTGAAAATGAAACAGTGAGAGATGTTAAACTTCTTATCTTCTCCTTTGTTTGCCACCCAGTGTGTAGAAAGCAAATGTTCAGGATGTGCCATATTTTCATTTTAGTCTATGCTCTGGGCTGCTAAAAAAATGGATAGCCATGGTTTGGACACCCCTGATTTAAACCACGCAAACGTTTTTTGACCCTGGCCCCTAAAAGAATTGGAATCAGGAGTCGTTGGGAACTGAAATGGAAACAAGAAACCAGAACTGGAATTCAAATTAAAACGATCATGCCCAACCCTAGGGAGCCTGTCTAATGTGCGCCACAACAAGCGCACAAGTCATGCACACGGAATGGGGCCGCACTGTAGTGGGTACCACAGCATGATTCGGCGGCTGTACATATAAAATCTCATTTATGGCCACCAAAATCCTCGGGCGATCCCTGGGTAAATAATCTGGATCGAATGTTCCACAGAGTGACTGTGCTCCTGGACAGCTTTGTTCAAAAATGTTTGATGAGGTGGAGAAAATCAAATGCTGGAAAGTCAAAGTGGACTCTGATGCTGCGCAAAGCGAGAGGAAACTTCAGGAGAACAAAAGAACAATTGAGACTCAGCGCAAGGCCATTCAAGAGTTGCAGGTGTGTGCCTTTTGAGGCAAATACGGTGCATGTATTTGTGTCATTTCATATTGTGTGAGTGTGTGCTTTACAGTTTCAAAATGAAAGTCTAAGCATCAAGCTTGAGGACCAGATGAGTGAAAATGAGGATTGGCGGAACAAGTATGTTTTTTTTTGTTTTGTCTTTTTTTTGTACTCAGAGTTTCCACATGCAATCCTGCTCTTGAATAATCACTGTTTTGATTCAGACACAATGCAACCCGCAACTTGTGTAATTTGCTGAAAGAAACCTTTGAGCGGTCGGCAGACAAAATGCAATTATGTGAGTGTGTTCAGCTCTGCCGCAAATCTCGCGGCCTCATCAATGTGCCGAAAATTGACACACATTTCTACGCTTTATAGTTGAATCTGAGCGAGATGAGACACATCACCTTCTAATGGAAAACAGTGAACGTGTTCAGGTAAAATACATAACATCAGCTAAAAAGTGAGGAATAAACGGTCAGACAATGAATAATTAATCTTCCCAGAAACTGATAGTGGCATTTGAACACCTTCGCGGTCAAGCTGAAGCCAATGACAACGAGATGCATTCTGGTTCGTTCTTCAACGTTTCTTTCTTTTTTGCATGTTGACCAAAAAAAAAAAAAATCTCTTTTCATTCACAGTTAAAGCAAATTTGCAAAAACTTGAAGAGCTGAAAGAAAACTATCAGCAAGAATGCACCCTAAAAGAGAACACGGTCAGTAAGTAGAAGACTGATGACTGCCTTTGTAACACAAACTGCTAAAAGAATTGACGGCTTCACAGGTGGCGACACTGGAAGCTAAACTTCAGGAGAAAGTAGGCGAACTAGAGGAAGTCCAGCGTGACCTTCATGATACTCAAAATCAATGCAGACTGCTTCAAGAGGCCACAAGTAAGAATGATGCCAAAAAGTTAATCACATGATTACATTTATCGACATTCAGTTAATTATTTTCTTAAAGGGGACTCATGATTGAAGTCCAAGATGGCGCCCGAGTAGGCAGCTGTCGGCAAGTGCTCTCATGAGCCTTGCTTTTTTTGTTGTTTTTCTGTTTGTT